AGATACTTAATTTTAACCACTTTCGCGTGAAACTAGGCGGACGTAGTCGATAAGCCGGGTTTCGCGTAATCGCTCTATTCTCTTTTACGGATCTTTTGAGCCAAAAGAACCTGTGAAATATCCGTATGTTTGCACCAACCCTAATGCCAACTATACTATCAGCTTTTATCAAATAGCTTTTATGAATTTGTCAAGTGCCCTCTTATATAAAGCTAAAATCCGATATTATTATCCTCTATTAATTCTCTTCAGGTAATTCGATAGTTTCATTATTATCGTTATTATCATTATCGCGGTAATTATTAATAATTGGAAATTTCTCAAAGCGCTTCTTTGTTTATTATATTACGGAAAATTTTATTTACTGAAGAGAGAGAGAGATTATAGGTATTAAAAAAAAATTCTGCAGATAATACTTGACTCATTATTATGCGACAGCAAGTGGCAAGCATTGAAGATATACGATAACAATAAGGAACGTTCAGCTTCATTAAGCGGTCGGGTAGGTAAACGAGAAGTTAATTAACGTTGTATTATCTAGAGAAGTTTAGGAAGCTCGCGGTTTCTCTCTCCAGCATCTAACATAAAGTAAAGTCTACAAACTTCCGCGCGGATAGCTGCGGGAAGAAATTACAAGTTGCAGTAAACGAGACAGGTCTCACGTTCATTGCTAGATGATTGTACTGTTGATCAATGTATCCGGCGTAGCTAGTCGATCTTATCACGAAACTGCGACGTACTGTCACGTAACCGCACCGCGCGCAAAGGAGAAAGAGAGAGTCAGAGAGGGCGAGAGAGAAAGAGGGAGAGGGAGAATAGGTGAACGCCATCCGATATGCTCGAGAGAGGAGGCTGTCCCGAGAACGCGTTATACGCGACTCTCTATAGTCGTAGTATAGGTATCTTCTACATAATTGTGTACATACAATATCCTGGCAGTCGCACGCTTTCTCTTGATCAGAGATACCAAAGTTAAAGTTAGTAAGGGAAATCTATTCTTTCAACGTCAATAACATCGAAAATTTTATAAATCAGAATATTATAAATATTATATAATATAATATTATTATATATAATTATTATATATAATTATTATATATAAATATTATAAATCAGAAACAATCGTGTGATAAACATTAATAACCTAAATAAAGATTTAATATAATATAAAGTATAATGCGACCAAGTTTTGATCATATATTGCTCTCTCATTTAATTGTTTGTATGTTTAAAATTTTCGTCACATCACAATTTGCTGCATTGTTTATTGATTTTTTCCATTATGCTTTGAGAGATGACAAATATGAGAAAATGTTGATTATATAACATTCTATATTAACTCTAGCAGAAAATGATAATTTCCAAATAAATTTTCTAACAAATTCTGTATCAATAGTGAAACCTATATAATGTGACGTATGTAGGAATCAATATTTACTCTTTTAATGTAAAATTTTTTTTATTTTTGAATTTCTAAATTCCTTATATTCTTAATTAAAGAGTTTATAAAAATCATATTAAAATTTCTCAGTATACTTACGTAAGGATAATCAAGAATAAAGTAAAGTAAAAGTCTTTTTAAAATGACCACATATTTCGAGATAATTAATAATAATCATAAGGAAATAAACGTAATTAAATTTTCTGCATATAAAATATAAAATTCAAAAAGTTTTTAGTTTTTTGCACTAGTAGTTAATTTTTACTTTCTATGACACACAACACATATCACATTTGATATTTCCTAAATTAAAATAGTTGTTACAAAAAAACAAAATTAAAAAATAAAATTATAAAAAATAATATTATGTCCCTTACAACTTAAAATTTAATTATAATATTGGTTTTTTTCTATGTTTATTTCAAATACTTTTGTAACACACTGTCATTTTAGCTCTTCGCGGATTTATTTCGACAAAGGGATGTAGGACAAGAGAAAGAATTCGCGCGGCGGAGTCAAGAGAGCTTCAAAAGCTGGTATAAAAAAAACGAGTTTCTATTATCAGAGAGAGAGAGAGATGTACGAAAGCCTTTGGAATATTCTCGTAAAGCGCGGGTACGTAATCTCAAGTATGTGCGAAACAAAGTTTCTTCCATTATGGTTTATCGTTTCAGGGATCGAAATGTTACAGCACGATTTCCCGATTGATCGATACCACGATAAGTTGAAATCACAACCGAGTATTTTTCTACTTCTGCAACACCGCAGAGCAAATGTTGATTCGCGTTTGTTTTGAGTTACGTTTTCTTCCGCACCGTCTTGCACGAAAAGAAAAGTTACGCAATATTGTTGCTAGGTTACTAATAACATGATTTGTACTACGTGTCTTTCGTTCCGCCGATCTTCTTAGTTTCATTAAGTAATTTCCATATTCCAAAATTCATATATAACATAATCAATCGACATACATTTCTAGGTTTTGCATATTTCTTGTTCAGCAAGATATTCTATCTTAAAAATGTTGCATTTTTTAGCTTTCGTCGTAATTTGCTGTCGTGAAATTGTGATCGATAAAAGAGCGGAGGATTTTCACAAAAAGTACATTACGATCGACGTTTCTTTAAGCCCTTGAGAGCCTTCGATTTCAATTAAATTCATCTTTTCAGATCGTATTTTCAATTTTAGTGTACACATAGCGGCTTCCGTTACGGACAGATAAAATCACATCACTCCATTATGGTTTATCATTTCAGTATACTGACGGAATTGTAGGAGTTTCGATACGGTCGCATGTTATATCGATCAATAGTACTCGCCATTGTTATATTAAACTGCACACGCCGGATTTTACCGTTTTCCCAAACGCTCAACGCAAATATGATCCACTTGATTTTTTTCCAATGTTACTACTCGCCATCGCATGTTTCAATTCAAAGTGAATTGTAGAAAATTTCTAGCGAATTTTATAAGCATTTTTTACGAATGTACCTTTTACATAATAATAATGGTACATACACGTTAACGAAAGCTCACACTCACACCAAACAGTCGCTGCGATCTATATTCTAACAGCAAAACGGTTAATCAATAAAATTAAGCTTGCAAATCATCTTCTTGATCTGATCTCAGATCATTCTTCAATGATTGCAAATCATTCTTCTTGTTCTGATAAAATGAGCTGCTAGACTGTTCGTAAAATTCACATTTTTCTTTTTGATAATATAATAATGGTAAAGACCTTTCCGTAAATTCCCAAAGTTTTTCCTTCAATTTTCACGCTCTGGTAACAATCGGAACTCAAACGGATCGCGATCGGAAGTTAACTTGTGATTCGCCAACTGGTTCTGCAGTCAGCTTGGCCAAAGAATTAATAAGCACCATTGCGAAGCCTCCTTTTTGTTCGCTATTATCTAAGATAAACGATGGCCTCTCGACACGATGGGCCACTCGGCGAATAGGGCAAAACTTTCGAATCGCTCTTGCGTCGGATGAAATTCTGCGGAGGCGGACGCTTCTTGCTCGCCCGACGGGGCTGCGCGCGTATTTCGCCGTTTTCTCAGATCACTGAGCAAATGTTGACCCAGTTTCGCCGTCGGATTGGACGTTACTCTGTCTTGCGAAAGTGCTGACTGGAATATGCGATGAGCGAGAAGTTTGGAGCTGCGCCGCGCTGCCCCTCTTCTTCTTCCGCGCGAGCAGAAAGTCTCGATCGCTGGACCAGGTCCGAAATTCGACGAGAGAAATCCGCTCGCGGTTGCTCTCGTCGGATTCTTATATTTACGGATTAGCGGTAAGCTTCATTGCGAAATAAAGCTCAACAACGCGCGGCACTCTATTTTTACGGAATATACAAATTTACTAAACTTCAGTAAACAGATTTATAATTGAATTTTTAAGCTCTTAAATAAAATTAAATATTATTAAAATATTTTAGTTTTTATTTATAAGTGAAAGTGAAAAAAGATTTCTCTTCTTACATTGTATAATTTGATATTAAATAAAGTTATAGATTATACATAAATTTCTTGATTATCCTCATTTAGATGATTTCTATCAGCGCCCTTCATATTGGTATGAATACACTTTATGAAGTAAAGTCGATAGTACTCTTAAAGAGTTAAAGTAGTCGTTCTCGAGCGACCCGGCTAAGTTGATTCACCTCGTTTCGCGAAGGTGCCTCTTATTACGCGTTGCTATACGAAGTTTCTGTAAGCCGCGCTAAGACACAAACGGAGAAGGTCGCCTTCAACGTGAAGTCACCCGGCCGAATAAAGTCGCGACTGAATGAGATATAACAGGGTATTTACCCTCAGTGGTGAGCATCTCTGAGGAGAGGGTAGACCGTAAGTCGGCGGACGTTGCGGGAGATGAATAACGCCCGGGCACAGTGGATACGGCTTAATATAACTTTTTCCCGTGTACCCCGTTCTTTTTCTCACGCTTCCGCTTCTATTCATTTCGTCTTTTCAACGTCGCGAGCTAAGAGACGGATACGCGACGGTGTCTTCCTTGCAATTCGAGTAATTTGAATGCGCATCTGCGTACTAGAATGCGTAATAGAATGCATCGTCTTTCCTGAGCTTGCTCGACACTGCATGCAACGCGACCGGGGAAGAAAATATCAATTCATTCGAGACGCATTTATTCGCGAAAAAAAGAAAAATATATTTATTTTAAATATATAACGTACCAATTCCTTTTAGAATTCATAAAATGGATTAAATTCTCTTTTTCGCGAATTTGCTAATTTAGTTCTCTCATTGCACTTACTTCATGAGCAACTAAACAATCTTTATTAACAAAGATTATAATAAGAAATAGTAAAAAATATTTGATAAATCTATAAATCAATGAAAAAAAATAAATTATAACATTAGGGAATATGTTACGCTCGATAATGTTAGTAATAAAAAATTTCGCGTGTATCGTCGCTTCTATAATAAACAAAACAAAACGAAACAAAACTCTTTTGCAAAAAATAATATTCAAGATGGAGTTTGTTGAACGTGTCTTACGTTTCATCTATATTTCTCTTATAGTATTTCGCATACCGTTAATAATGACCGTTATCACGCCATCGCCACCAACAATCGAATCTACTGTCGAGTCCATTGTCACCGACTCTGGCATAACGGAGAAGGAGGAGGAGGATAAGGTAGAAATGCTAAAGATACCGATGACCGAGCAGGTTATGGACCACAACATACGGGTAAGCGACGTGCCTGACGTAGCGACAGATGTGCCGGATTTTAGCTTGGAGGATAAGAACCGAGTGATCCGCGATGTGGCGTATTTGATTCGCGCCCATAAATTCCACGACTACGATCGTCGATACTATAAAAGCGTAAAAGAATCTGCGAGTAGGCTGTACGAGGAGTTCCCGAAACCTGGTCTGAGATCCCTACACTGGGAAGTGCGTAAGCACTGTGAGGCGAGTTTCATCGAATGCCTCAAGTATCTCAATAGAATCATTAAGCTTACAGCCCTCAGGCGCGAGAACGACACGATTACGATCATGAGACAGCAGAAGTGGAACCTGGCAAATAATACAAAGCAGATTCTGGCCGCTCAGAGGGACTGCCAAGTAGCCCAAGGGCGTGACAATCTCACCATGATTCCGTTTCAAGGTCCAATCGGCAAGTGCACCGAATTGTCATGAGCGTTGCTAATTTCACTCTGGCACATTAAACGCAATTTGCACATGCTAGCGGCTAAATTGTTTTACGATCGAATAATTGAAAGATTTGTATCATTTACTCTCTCAAATTGAACTCATACATAAGCATACATAATATGATCTTTAATGTTAAAAATTGACAAAACATGAATCTTGAATGCTTTTATTTTCCGATACTTATAACTTCTACTAATAATTATAATTAAAAATTAATAATAATAATAATTAAAAGTAATTTTACCGATAAAATACAAATAGTAATATTAAAATATTTGTCAATTTATGTTTACACTTAAAAATTATATTTATCTTTTAAAGCTACAATAGAAATATTAAGGAATTGTATCAGTCGCTACTTAAGAAAGCAATGGAATAGAAACAAACAAATTTTAAGAATTATAAATAATGTTTTTGCGCAAGCAATCTTCGAGCTATAATATATATAAAAAAAATTCAAACTCTAACATAAATCAATTAATAAAGATAATTAAGTGATCTTCTCAGGAAAGATTATTGAATACTATTTTTAGAACGCTTCCAATGGCGCACCACTGTCAGCTATTATATGTGCTGGTACACGATGCTCGGCATCCCGGATTTAGCTATCTTCGGCGAGCCCTGCGACAATCATGCCAACTGCCTCGATGAATACGGTGTTCATAATAAGGATCCACGAGCGGACGATACGAAACCGTATGCCTGCGCACTGTACAGTTTCTGCCCGGACAATTGTTGTCCCATGAAGCACATCTGGTACATGAAAGACTGTTACCAGTCACAGCGCAATCCTTGCTACGCTGGGAATCAACCAGGTACGTGGACATCTATTAAGATACAGATACTTGTATCGCGCAAAAAACTCATTTATATTTTATAGCACAATGACTGAACTAATTTTACATGCGCAATATAATTAGGTTTCATTACGTCAATAAAAACACTGTCGCGCTGCAGATTGTTTCTAATTGGTAATGCTATATATAAAGTTTTATATTTTATATATATATATATATATAATTATATATATAATTATATATATAACACGCACACACACACCACACATATACATATATATATATAGTTTAGATATAAACAATTTTTGTAAGAAATAAATATTAATTAATGCAGAAATTTTTGTAAAACGTAAGTATTGATGTTTTAAATTCACGGAGTTATCTAGTATTAGCGTACACAATAAAAATTTGTGTAGATAAATCAGAACTGTATTATCGCGAACTCTAAAGGCGTGTAACTCCACGAATGAGATTCTCGTTTTGTTTACGACAAACACAACGAGCCGGTACTTTGCTATAGCCGAGCTTTGCATCCTCATTTGCATTCCGTGTGGGCCACGCGCGCAATTAACTACCCTTGAAGTCTTCCCACCCTCAAGCGAGCCAACTGCCAGGTCATGTTCGCAGCACATCGAAAATGCACGCTGAACCGGGACGAGAATCGCGACTTGCAGGCGCTCAGAGCGAATAAGATAAACGTGAGTTGCGAATGTCATCGGCGCGGCTACGAGTGGTCCTCTAGATTTGGGTTGTGCATCGATGTAAACGAATGTATTCGAGGCATGCACAATTGTTCGCGAAATGCCGGGGAGAGTTGCCTGAATTTACCCGGTCGTTATGTCTGCGTCTGCCGACTTGGCTATGTCTACAATCCGGAAATAAAACGGTGTCTTTACAGTCCGGACATTAACAGAGTGTTGAAAAGCGCTTTCGAAGAACCACCGTCGAAGATCAAGGAAGCGAAGAAAAATATGTTTTTCAAGATCGCCGAAATCATTACCAGATCTGCTGGAATTAGCTACGTATGTGATTACATCAAATTTACATTACTTTTAATTACGTTGATACACAGTGCCATATGATTGCTTTCACTTTTTTAATTTAATTTAAAAATTTAACTATCTTCCTAATATTTTAGAATTAAATGTTTCTTAAATAATAATTATTTATATTTGTTGAAATATATTCTTGATACATATACGACAATATTTCAGTTATATTTATATAATTTAGTTATATAATTTTAATTACGTATTTCTTATTCTTCACATTCATATTTACTTCAAAGAATTTTTAATATTTTGTAATTTGTGCAATATAAATAATTATGAAATTATTTATATTAATAAAATATTGTTAAAGATACAAGAAACATAATTATATAGTAGTAACATAATTATATAAAGGCTCATTATAATGAAACCTTTTTATTATGATGACGTAGAAGCGCTAACAGCTTTTCTTGTATGTCGTAAATAATTTATATTCAAGGAAAACAATAAGATTATATAATTATCCATTATTAGAGACAAATAGTTTTTTGCATATATGCATATGTGTTTTATTGACAAAGAATAAGAACAATGTAAAATCATAATACTAAAATATTAGATACTAGATACATATTGAATGAAAGTTTTATTTAATTACATTAGACCTCTTGTGTATGATTTTGTGCGGAATATTATTTTCATTTGTTAATTAAGAAGTTTGTAGCAAATTAATATATACGCTACTATTACCGTGATAATTTATACGGTAATGCATTTTCGCTGGTAGAAACAATTTGCAACAATATTACGATCGCTGTCTTATTTAATGAAATTAGCGCGCAAAATTGTGAGGAGCTCGTCGACAACGTTATTGCAGTTTCTATTACCGGATTAACATGGGCGGAAACGAATCGTTTAATAACAGCATACATGCAACATAATCTGTATCAGCACTATAAACTGCGTTATTACCATTTAGAAATATCCAGCCACTTAGGAAGCGCCGCAGCGTAGAAATTTGTATCTCTAACAATTCAAATTTTAATCTTGCTCGCTTAATAGCGCGATTCCGTGTGTTTCGTATACTATCACAAACGATCCCCCTTAATGGTTATTTGTCTGACTAAGGGAAAAACAATGCTCTCGAGTATACCACATCCTGTACTTAGCATAACGGTGAAGTTAAGCCCAGACGGGTCCGAATGCTCGGAAGAAAACATCCGGCGAAAATTCTTAAAGATGTTAAAACTTGCAAAAATTCAATTATCCTTTGTATTAACACTTTTAACCAATAATGCGTCGCTTTAGTTCTTACCGATAAAATCTTTCCTGGATTTGTATTGCTTTTACGGAAAGAACATGGAATCTAGAACTTATACCTTTCAGGAATTTTCAGATTACGAAATATATATGCGCAAAAACATAATATACAGATCTATAAAATTTCATCAGAGGCAAATAGTAAAAATAGATATGTGCTGTAGCATGCCTATTAATATTACGAAATGTTATTTCCCTGTATATTTTATCGTGTGCAACAATTATGTCATTGTTAGTTTCGATGAAAATAAAATTGATTGATTTATTAAACAGCTTCAGTGAATTTATGCTTTATTAATCGAACAGTTAAACAACGAATTATATATAGCATACAATTCGTACTTTATTGTGTCTGTAACATGTACGGTACAATTTTTGCGGTACACGCATCCAGAACGGGCCGAGTGACATGCGTTACAGGCTACTTCATTGTTTCCGCTATTGCAAAATTTCGTGACACGAAAAAATATCGTCGACGCGGACGGAAATCTGTACATACGTATGTAAAAGATATGCGCGAAATGCGTCCGAGTCAGACGATAAAAAATATAGATGGATCGAGAAAAGAGTCTAGCGAGATCGGCGATGCTGTTTTATTCATCGACGCGTTCGAATGGTAGAACCGTCTTTCTGGCCAAAGCAACCCCCATTCGGGGGTTAATACATAAATGTATAAAGCACAGCGGTTTTCCTTATTTCCGATGTATAATATCATTCGTCAAAGCATGATCGCCCGGTAATCGTTTATTTCGATTTATTGGGTGGAGAAGATTGATGACCGTGCCCTGAAGAGCGATTGCTTATGCTATATTAAATATGCAAACTGTATAATTTATTTTCATTTAATTAAAAAATACAAATTAAAAAAACTTAGCTATTTTATTCCATCAATATTAAATACGTATTTAAATCTATTTTTATTCTTAATTTAATTATTTTGTATCTTACTCCAATTTTACCTCAATTATTTATTGTTCGTATAAATCTATGTGTATACATATATACACGTTGCGTAAATATATTAATGTACGTAAATGTCCGCATTTCTTTTTTATATTGAATTCGGTCTTGTGATTTCACCACTCGAACCCAAATGGCTGTGCGAATCAGTTTTTGCTGCGAAAATAAACTAGAAATAAGAATATAAATAAGAAATTGAGATATAGTGGAAAATATGTAAAGCGAATAGAACGGAAGCAGTTACGGAACAGTACTCACGCTATCAGTTGATTTTTCTGCTTTGCAAGACAAAATATGCTGGCACAAAATTAAGAGAAACACACCGTTTGGAAGGTTTATATAACTCGGCCACCGATCCCGACAATCGCGATATCACGAATACTTTCATGCAATCTCAATTCTTGTTATATAACATCGCGCTATAAACCGGTTCTATCTCCGTGCATTCACGCAAGCTGATGTTGCAGTCGTAAACCACTTTCGGCTACACTTTCGGTTGCGGTCTTATGTCCATACTTTCTAATGTTCAAGTATAATTACAAATATGAGTTCAATTTATCTTTCAAAAGATTATAGAAATGCTTAATTTTCATGCTCTGTGTGTAATATTAAAATCAGTTTTAAAATCATTTTGTATCATTTTGTACACCTTAAGATGAGATAATCCCATATAAAATTCCCATATAAAAAGGAATTAAAAATAAAAAAATAATAAATAAAAAAATAAATAAAATGGATAAAAATGTGTAATCAATCTTTTTATCGTTAAACTGATTAACGTTATTTTAAAATACTGCATTAATGTATATATTTGATTAATTATTAGCATTCATCATTATCATTATGCATACTAACGAGATATATGATAAATAATGGAATTCTAGTACAAATAATATCGGACGACCAGCACAGCTCATCAGAAAAAGTAATTAACGTATGAGACTCCGCTTGTGCGCTCTTTGCATACATGGTATCATTATACACATTATCGTTATTAATCGGCCTTTATGACGCTCGGCGATGCCATTACTGAAAAGCTCGCGGATTTTCGTCCGCGTGTACAACCACGGTTTGCTTCAAATTGGCTTGATTTTTTATTCGTAAACAGCGAACCATCGAGCGCGATTTGTCGGGCCTGGGCATTGAAAACAACAGGCGCGCGTGGACGGACGTGTATGAAACGAAACACTCACGGAAACAAAAAAAATGCACATATTCATAGATGGAAATATTGCAGTGAGAAAAAACGGGGCCGGATGCGGCGTAGCGTCACAGGGAAATCGCGCGTCGAATAGCCGGATGCCAAAAACCCAATATTTCCCGCGCCGTATCTATCTGTGCCAATTGACCGTCCTAACATCAATTTTGAGCTTCAAATCACGTTAGCGCAGTGCATCATTTCGTCACTGACGCGAGAACATTTACGCCTAAATAGACAAAATGTCTATTTAAAGAAAATATCAAAATATTAAACACTCACATGATATATAAATATTAAATACTAAATCATCGATAATGATATATCGATATGTCTTATGCCTGATAATATTATTTGTTATGATAAATTGATGATGTGCTAAATTCTTTTTATCATTAACTCGTCAATTAGAGAATGCTCCTTGTGCTTAGATCAAGCAATATACACGCCATATGTATATTGTTTGATCTAAGCACAAGGAGCATTCGACCGCAGTCGGAAGGTACGGATTTTATGCTAATGTAAAGCCTACGTAACTGGCAATCCTGGTAAATGTAGCTACGATCAACGTCGCTCTCATTTACATCTAAATACCGACATCGATGAGACTCCTCGCGCTGCCAATTCCTTCCCAATTCAATCCTTTGGTTGACCCTTCCTGTTGGTTGATCATTCGACACTTAAAGCGATAAAGACACGTCTCCTCAAAGCAGACGACATCATGTGATCCAATCAAATTGCTCATTCAATTTTATTTGTAATGCGTAATTATAGATATTTATTTAATTAACTTGATGTTTATTAATTTCTCAGCGAAAGATTTTAAAATCATATAAAATTACAAAAATTAATCTGAAATTATTACTCAAAATAATTTAATTATGAAATAATTATGAAATAATAATGAAATAATAAATATAAATTTAATGTCGTTCTTGTAGAACAATGTGCACATGTAATCAGAGTTGTTTATTCAACCAAAAATGCTTGTGCTAAAGAATTGCTTACGGTGAAAATTTTGTGCATGCTAATGCATTTAGAAAGTATCATGTCACATAATTTTAACACACACACACACACACACACACACATACGCGCGCGCGCGCGCGCACACGCACACACACACAATGTTATATAAAATATACTTTTTATAATTTTGCAAATATTTGAAAAAACATAAATACATTTTACAAAGCGATTTAAATTTTTACATTTATAATATTTCTTTTAAATATATAAAATATTTCCTTTTTATTGTGTGGTATGCTATTATTTAATATGTACATATAATACGTCGCAAAAAATATTTTATTACGAATTATGCACAAAATCGTATGCGTCTGTTTTCATTATTGCATCGAGCTCCGAACTCCTGCAAATATCTCTCTCTCTCTTTCTCTCGCGTGCGAGTATTCTACCAGACTACTATCGCCAGGTAGAATGGAGCGCCTCGCCGCCGTTCATTGCGGTTCGTCTTTTCGAGGAGACCCCAGTCATCAAGAATGTCTCTGCGCGAGTGGTACGCGAACCGCGTGGTGCTCCTCACGGGAGTCACTAGCGAATTGGGATGCAGTCTGTTGGAGAAGATCCTACGATGCTTACCGGACGTCAGGGTGTACGTCGTCCTTCGAGCCCAAAACGGCCTCACCAGCGAGGAGCGAGTGAAGAAGATATTCGCGTCGCCTAGGTACGAACGTATCCTTCTCGCGTTCCTCTTTGCGCTCGCCTCGTGCCTGTAAATCGCATCGGTCGCTCGATATCGCCTTTGTGAACGTTAAATTGTGATCGCGATTCCGGTCGGGGGTGTGCGTCGAATTTATTCGCCGAGGACATCGAACTGAAAAAGACACCCCCCTTCTCTCTCCGTCTCTCTCTCTCTCTCTCTCT